ATCTTTTAAGCTAAAAACTCACAGCTGCTTCTTTTATCTGGGCTGTGTACATCTGGACTATAATCAGTTTCTTTCCTCTCTTGCCTCCCATGACAAATTCAATCCCTTTCAGATGCAGATCTTTGAAACCCAGTTCAAACTTCACCCCATTTTGCATGCAAAACAGGTCATTCAAACGTCTCATATTTACCTTGAGAAAGTCTTTCATGATCTTGACTATGAAGTCATCTTTCTCCAGGGGCTGATTTTCTTGATTCCAGGTCCGATTCTTTCAGGACCTCCACTTTCACTTATCTCCATTTTTTGTGGTGTCCCCTGACCCGGAGCACAGCAACTCCAAGGTTCAGGGTTTTCACTCCCCCTCACAACTCACATGGGGGTCAGCCCAAGTTTCTGTACCTGAACTGGAAAGAACAAATTGACTTTTATTGGTAAATGTTTAGGATTGTGAATCCAAAAAAAGCTGACAAAGCCGGTAGGGAAATACATAGCGCCCAAGTGAGGGACTAACAATAGAAGGATGGGGGTGAGGAGGGGAACGCAACTAGGTTACAGGAGATACAATGTTAGCCAACTGAGCCTGGGGGTAGGGGGGAAAGGGGGAAGGGGAGGGAGGGGGTTCACAACGCTGAGAGAAAAAGAAGATAGATACACACAAACCTGTTACAATGGTCCGCAATGGTGGAAGAAGTGGTTCGGAGAAAAAGTGTCTCAGTCCATATAGAGTCTCATTGCAGGGGTCCTCTTCGGGTGGAGCAGGGTCGTCCATTGGTGAAGAATCCTCTCGAAGTGAAGGTCCATCTGGTGCAGAGGCGGGGTTCAGGCGGTCCCCTCTGGGTCCGGTCTGGCGGCGGTTCGTCTGGTGGGGTTGGTGTACTGGCAGTGGCCCGTGATGTGTTCCACGTAGATGTCACGGGACCAATGGATGGTGTCAGACACCATAAGGCAGCGCATCAGCTTGGCACTCAATCTAAAACCATCTTCCTGATCCAGGGGAAACCAACTTGATGATCATGGTATCTTCCCCCATTGCCACAAAATTGTGCAATAAGGATAGGTTAGTGCAGGCCATCTGAATAAGATGCACAGTAGTGCCCATTGCACTCAGCCCCCCTCAGCGCTGATCCTTTTTCCGGTCTTGCTAAGCCACTATGTTGAATATATTTTGACTTCCTCAACTCCCATAGTGAACTGCACCTTTTTTGCCATTCCCAGTAATTCCTAGTTTTTCACCAGCCTTAAATGTCTGGCAAACGTTACCAAACAGGGATCTAAACAGTTCACCCAGAATCCCTCTGTGGCCCCTCTCTCAGCCTGGTGCACATGATTAATGTGGCTCCGACTTCCCTGAGGTAGAGCTGGACCAGGTTGCCCTACACCTCATCTGCATATAAATTTTTGGAGTATCCCAGGACTCATGAGAAGAATACCCAGTTCCAATTGTGAGGAACAGGGTCAGGGTGCTAATTAGCACATGGATGCTTTGTGGGTATTATCTGGAGTATATACACATACTAAGCAGTTGTAAGCTGTGAGATCACCATGACTTGAAAGGCTGTTGACTTTGCTGTACAGTAAATTGGTTTTGTACTAATGTCATGTGTAGTTTGTATGCCTTCTTAGATCATCTGGCTCACTTCTTGGTCTCTTGAAGGCTCAGGTCAAGTGTAGTGGCTTTTTAACCTGGTAGAGGAAATACCATGTATCTGTGTCCATAAAGGCTGTTCTTCTGAACCACACTGCAGGACAGCTGGTCTTCTGGCATGGTTCAATACCCACTGAGATGTAGCAGCTTTAAGCCCAGTTTATGGAAATGGGAGTCTCTTTTCTCCCTTGCTTTCTCTGAGGGTCTTATGGCTAAGGGCAAGCAAAACCTGGGGGTATCCAAACCCCAAGCCTGTGGGCTTGGGCCTGCAAGTAGGATGCCCGCCAAAGGTTTTGGAAACATCTGAAGCTCCACATGTGGGTGGAGGATGTTTGCTGGTATTAGGGAAATTTGTGGTTCTGGACTCTTGGATTTGGAACTAGTGTTGACTAATTTGGCCTCAGATACAAATTTAATTATAAAAAAAAATCCTTCCATGACCATCTGCCTGAGAGCAAGCCAAACTCAGGGGCATCCAAAACCCAAGCCTTTGGATGTGGATGTGGATATAGAATGCCTGTCAAAGGATTTGGAAGCATGTGAAGCCCCAGGCAGGGGTGGAGTATGTTTGCTGGTAGTAGTGCCACATTTGGTTCTTGAATGACTCATGGATTTGGAGTTGATTTGGCTGATTTGAATTGAACCCTCCACCCCTGCCCCCAGATTTATTTTCCCTGCTGTATCAGTGGAAGGCAGACAAATTTAAGGTAACCCTCCAATAATTAGATTCTGTACTTGCAAAATTATAACAAATTTATAAATTGTCCATATATAGGATCTAACTAGTAGGGGGAGTTCATCTTATATTCAGGGTCATTTTATAGTCAAATAAATATGTTGCTTTATCTCTTTGCATTATTGGGCCTACGTTAGCATTTAAAGGGCCAAATTTTCTTTCACTACAAGTCGAAGTACTTCAGTAGTTCAGTGAATGTTCCCATACTGGTTTTGATCCACAGAGCTCAAGATACTTTAAATCAAAAAGTGAATAATCTGTATTATGATAATTTTATCAAAGAGATAATGATCTATAGAGAAGAAATGGCTTGAGTATGGCAGCACAGTAAATTAAAGGCAGAACTGGGAAACTCCCTTGATTTCCTTACACTGCAAAATGTAGTATATTTAGAACTAATAAAAATAAATCTCAATTCATATATAGTTAGAATATAGTTATCCTTTGGGATATACCACTCAAGGTTATTGAAACAAATAGAGTGATATGATGTTAAAACTAGTTTTATGGCAGATAATAAGATTTTATGTACTTGTTTGTATACAAACAATGATGATGGCAGTCATATCTCATGATATACCACGAAGTGATTTTGTGCTGAGTTTAATCAAGAACTTTGAAGGAAATGACATTGAATAGCACTTTCCATTCTTCAGACAGATGGTTTTAATTTAAAAATGATTATTTGAGAGGAACAAGCTTCAGTGGGTATTTAACAGTAATTGTGGATTTAAATAGTGATCAACTGAAAGCAGCATTGTCTATTGGGTGGCACCACTTGACAGAAGAGTGAATGTGATGGAAACAGAACTAGCTCAATCTTTTGCAGGACTCCCTGTAGCTACTAATCCTCAAGGCAAGAAAGTAGCCCTCTTGTGACTAGTGCAACAGGTATATTGATCTTAAGTCAGTAGCTGATTAGCATTCATTAAGGAAACACTGAACTCTACCATATGCACCAATTCCCTGATCAGGAAACAGTATCTACAGTAAATACATCAAATACATTCTGAGTAGATTCAGCTCCTCAGTGCATCTTTGAAGATAACATGTATTGCAGGTGTCAGGCAGGCAGGCAATTGGGAGATTGAGCATATTCTGTGGTTTTCTTTTTTGATTATATACAGGTAGGAGTGTGTAGTGGAGAGATCAAAGTATACTGTGTTGAAACCTTTACTTCAATACCTCATTTAAGGAAATAACTATCCATTGCATTCATCCAAGAACTGCTTAAGAAAGGCTGATTCAAGGAAGAAAAATTCTTATTCACCGTTAGCTGAAGAATGAGTTCTTAGGATGCTTGGAAGAGGGGAAATCTTATGGCAGTTAATACTGTGTATTGATATAATTTGGCAAAGTTTCAAGATATCTAAGACTTCATGAGTATTAAAAATAATTCATATGTAGAAGAACATTCAGTTAGTGCTCCTAGCTATGAAGGGGCAAGCTCTCAGATACTTATTGGGTGCGTCTACATGTTGCCATATGGCAACGTTGCTACTACCTTTTGGAATTACTAAAGCATGGTGCAGTTAGGGTAGTTACTGTGCCATGCACGTGGTGCACAGTTACATTTTGCCACTACATCGCTGTAGAGGCACACTATACCAGGGGAGTGTACCGCTATGGCAACATAGCTGCTGATCATGTGTAGACCCATGTGATTACTACATTGCTGTAGTGCACCATATGGTGACGAAGCACGTTGTTACGTCACCGTAGAGTGACATGTAGACGCACCCATTGTGTCTTCTTTCTCTTTCACTCTTTATCCTCCTTTCCATAGCCCCACAGACCTGATTGTTTTAATTTGTTTGGTAGAAGGGTAATGTGGAATGATGAAATGAATCTCATGACTTTTTTTTTTTTATATGTAGATGCTAAGAGACTGTTTAGATTTTTATGTAACCATGAGCATAAATTCTGAGGGTGCAGTGCAATCGTTTTCTTGCAATTTTGTTCATAAATACCAATAGCATTCTTTCCAGTTAAAAGCGTATGACAAGTAATAAAATATAAATCCATCAGCAGCACAGACCAGTGGCTCTCGATCTTTTTAGACTCAAGGCACTCCTCCTTAGACTCAAGATACCCCTTGTAAAATACCAGCTCTTATTTTTCACCCTTTTTGACAACAGAAAAATAATAGACCAATAATAGAGTAATACTGTACTTCTATTGAAAAGAACTCAGAAAGATCACAACAGATCAGAATGCTTTTGACACCATGAATTCCTGTTTGAAATGTCTAGTTTTATCTTGAATCATGTTTTCCCATCTAACAGTGTTGACATTGCATGGCACCCCAAAGCATCCTTGAAAGGATCTCACAGTACTTCACTGTTGAGAATCACTAGTGTAGACCAAGCACTTTCTCGGTTGCTTACGGTGATATGTGACATCACTTACAAGATCAAGGGGTATAATGATTAGCTGTTAATTCATTTCATGGATTAAATTTATTAATAAAATGATAATTTATAGAATGTACCAGGCAATAAACTCTGTACTGTGACAAAATAAAACTGTAATGTTTCTAAATATATCCCTCTGTAGTTCGATTTTGGTTTTCTCTTTCTAACATATACCTGATATTTATTTGCCTTTGATTAATTCCAGTACATGACTGCTGCTGCTCCTATGCAAGGGACCTACATTCCCCAGTACACTCCTGTGCCTCCAACAGCTGTCCCTATTGAAGTAAGTGTAACTCTATTCATGAAATAAAGTGAAGGGGAAATGAATCACAAATGTATGCCTCATTAAATGTATTGTATTAAAAAGGGTGAAAAATTACTTTCCCCAATCACAATGTATACTGCTCTTAAAGTCAGGATCGCCCACGTCTCTATTTCTTTTCATTTCTTTTCCTTTTTTGCTTTCTTTGGAAATTTTGCAAGTGCTCTTGTGTTTGCATTTGATTTGCCATGCTCAGCAAATGGAATAAACCACTGGTGATTTTTCATATATTTGGGAGGGAGATGGGGAAAAGGCAGGAAAACAATACCAGCAAGCAAGCCCAAGGGAGTCAAGAAGAGAAGATTGCCAAGAGGGTTTGACAGTGTAGGTAATTGCTGAAAACATACAGCATCCAGAAAAAGCGACTGAGCAATGGAAACCTTCCTCTTGTATATACAGACGTGGAGGATGCTGCACTGAGTGCTTTTTCATCCTTGAGGAAGGATTCGCTCCCTCCCTTCTTGGGGCTGAGTCATGCTGATGACATTCTAATGAGTAAGTATTTACTCAATCCTGTAGATCACAAGGTGCTGGGAGCACTTCAGCTCACCCTCCACTGCTGTGCATCTTCATGAGGGATTCTGAGCAAAACAAGAGGAGGGAGGTTTGGTTGATTTCTTTTTTTTCTTTATTTTTTTTTAAAGATACGTTCTTCTTAAATTTTGTATTATTCTCTTCGGTTCTGCCCCATTTTGTTAATAATTTTCCCTTACTCTGTGATAACATCAGGGATACTATAAGCACTGTGTCTAGACTGGAGTTGATATTGTGACTGCTCCATGGATTGACTAAGTGGGGATGCTCTGTTAGCAGTTATGTTGGTATATTTTCACCAGTGCTCAAGTAGTTCCACCATGGTTTTTCCAGTGTCTCTGGCTATAAATAGTAAGAATCCCAAATGAAATCCCACATGGTAGGAAATGACAACTATTTTGTCATACTAAGCTGGTCTTGTTTAAATTTTCATTGCTAAAAGATAATTTCACCCTAAACCAGGCTTTGTTTTGTTCATATATGTATAGCATTACTTGGTTTGAGTACCTTTGTAAGTTATTAAAGCAGCACAATCACCCTGTTTGCTGATACCTACACTAAATTTGCTACGAAGTGGTGGTGGTGATATTTATTTGTAATAACGGAGCCTCAGTTAGGAACAAGTCCCCCAGTGTGCTAGGCATTCCGCAAACAGAAAGCAAAATATGTTCTTTGCCCCAAAAATCTTGCAGTCTTGTTTAATCTAAGGAGCAACAGACAGATGTAGGCAGACATTTGGCATAGATGGAAATGACAAGTTTATATGGATCCCCCTATTCAAGGGGGTCATGTTTAAAATCTTTCAGAAAGAACTTGACAGTTTTTTCTGTGAGAAATGTAAAATGACCTACCTTTTTTTTTTATATAGTACTCAGATAAAAACAAAATGTGAGCTCTTGATGGTCCTTCTTCTACCTCCATGGCATGCAATACACTAACAAACTCTGTTCCGAGACAAGTAAACCTGGCATCATTGATGTAGTAACATAGAAGTAAAGAGAACGCAGCTCATTTAATGAGCTTGTAGGGAATAATATATTTTTTAAATGTCAAAATGGAAATAAATGATTATCATCAAAACATGATTGCGAGTTTTCAAATCACATGCACATAATGTTGACTACATGCCTGTATATAAAATTACAATTAAACCTATAAATAAAAGCAGAGCCTACCTGGTACAGTGTCTCCTTATGTAAAACCTTTAGTTTATCTTAAATTTGTCTTACAAGAGAAAACACCTCAAATAGAAATGCTGTATCAGTGCAAATATTGTGCAGAGCATGCTACAGATTCTGCAGAATATGCATTATTTTAATGAAATATCCTGTAGGCCTTGATCCTGTTCTTATATTGGTACAACTCAAGAGAAGTCAATGTAAACATAAAAGAAGGTTGTTGTAAGTGAGTTAAAAATCAGACCAACCATACATATGTAATGATAAAATATGTAGGATGAAATCCCGACTCGATTGAAACCACTGAGATTTTTGCCTCTGGCTTCTACAAGGTCAAGAATTCCCCCATAATTTTTCATTGCTGCATGTTAGAGTGAAGGGCTTCAGGCACTTTGCATATTTGAGACATTTCTCATTGCTGGGCTGGATTACTGGTTACATAGATGGCAATTATATCATGTCAGCATATGTTTTCTGCTATCCCAGGCACTCTCAGTTATAGAAAGCAACAATCCAGCTGCTGAGAAATGAGGAAGTGGTGAGACAATGCTGAGTGCCTCCATACAGTTCACTGATTGGATTAAAATCAGTAAATTTTTCATGTCCCTATTTGCTTCCTTAGGGTGTTGTTGCTGATACCTCTCCACAGACAGTAGCATCTTCATCACAGGAAGCCAGTGGTCAACAGCAACAGATGACAGTGGAAACATCCAGTGAACACGCGCCTGCATATTCTTACCAACAGTCTAAGTAAGTAAACTGTTTTTAGTGACCCCTTGGCCAGCTATGATTTTACCTCTCAACTAAAACATGTTAAATCTACTCTTAGCTGCAGCAATATACATTCATTAGAAGTTCACTGAATACAATGGAATGACCCCATTGAATTTCTACCACTTAATTTCCAACAGTGTAATTAATTACAGAATTTTATTTGACCCCCACCATTTTATATATGACTTAAATGTAATTTCTTAAGTGTGTACAGCTCACGCTGAACTCAGTATTTATCAAAGATTATGTTAGAAATCAAGTTATGGAAAAATTCATAGCTTGTTTAGGCAGATACACTACGCTTACCTCACTGCAATTTGATTAAGATTTGTAACTGGTAAGGAAGCATAAATTGTACAGATTTGTCATTCATTGGATATGCAGACTAATGTCACAAGAAAAGGCTGGGAGGAGAAGGCTTCATCTCCCCGCCTCCCCCTTCTACCCCCAACTCTTCTTCACCTTGCAAAATATTATGTGCTATACATCTGTATTTCTGAAAAGCACATTTTACAGTAGTAAAAATTTGGCTCAATATTAAGCAACAATTTCCAAAGCATCAGCAAAGAAGTAATTAACATGATTAGGTGTTGATCTTATCATTTCTAGGCAAGGAAAGATGCAGAACCTTAGAGAATTAATCAGAAACTATTTTTTACCATCCTGGAAACAAACCTGAAAACAAAAGAGAGCAAAAGTATTTTAAAAATGAACTGAGCATGAAAAGGATTTTGTACTGGCCTTATATATTAAAATAAAGAGTTAAATTAGGGTACATTTAGCTCTTTTTTTGACCAGGAACCACATTATTTACATTTATACTGTAAAGAATGTATTTATTTACATTTTCTTTACATTTATACTGTATGGCTTCCTTGAATGTTGATTCTCTCCTAGTATGTCCAAACATAAGACTTATACTCTGTATCTATGTCTTCCAAGGATACACATGGAATTACACTAGGAATGAAGTAGGCATTCTGTTCTTCGACTTTGAGCATTCTCTTCTACTTCATTAGACAGATCCCTCAACCATTTTGGACTAACCAGTATTTCTCTCACTTGAAAAGCTCATAAATTTACTTATAAAAATATGAAATCTTGAAAGTGAAGTTAAATGGCACTTCTTTTTCATGGGAACTCCACCCTCTTGCCTCTTAGCAAAGATCTCTCTGCTGGACATCAGGCCTCTGGCTTTAAGCAGTGGGTGGGAAGATTTTCTGGAGCCATGGTTGGAAGGGAGGATAAATCCAATGCCAGATTAAAGATTACTACCACCTGGGGAAACCTCATAAAAGAACAGACTTTTGGTCTCCCAAGAAACTTTACAGGGAAGCCCACAGTAACTCAGTCACTTTAACGAGAAACCATGCCAACAATCTAAGGAGCACACTTGGAAGGGCAGGAAAACCACAGAAGGTGGCCACTGGCTTATTTTAAACAAAAAAGGTGGAGGGAGAAGGGAACTGAACCCAAGGAAAAAAGGTAACAACCATAATACAAATAGGCCACAAGCACTCCTAATCAGTCCTCATTTATACAAGGGTCAACTCCCCTTTGAGATGATCATAAAAATCTCAGTGCAAAAGCAGTGATTAGGAGCCTCTAAATCTTTAAGTGAGGGTGATAAGTCGTGGAGCCCACTTTGAGAGGATGTAACTCAAATTCACTCATTTTCATCATCCTGTCAGGGAACAAAGACCCTAGAAACTGCAGTTGACTCGTGCTCCCTCCCCAGCTTCCCCTTATGGTACCAAAAGAGGATGGTCAGTAATGAATGCGGAAATGGCTTTATCAAATCATTAAGGAAATAAACAAATGTCACATTCTGCCATCACAATGTCTGGGGGTGCTTTTTTGTTTCACAATGCTAACTGCAATCATTTTAGATAAAAATTTGAATGAACTGTTGTTGTTTGCAGAATTTAAGTTTTGAAGTTCAAGTTAGTTTCATGTTTATGGTTTCAGCTAGGGTGGCTATGTGGCATATCTTTGAAATCATTAAAACATTTTCTGTGTTTCATTAATAAAAAGAAAAGAAAAGGGTCTCACCCTCCCCCCCTCCATTCCTTACTTGTGGCTGCCTGCCCTCTGTCCTGGGGAGCAAGCAAGGAAGGGTTAAACTTCCTGCCTGGCTTCCTCCACCAAGGTGCAGGACTGCTGCTCTTCTCTGGGCTGAGCCTGCCTGGAAAATCAGCAGCAGCTGTGGAACTACCCAGGCAGGCAAGTTAACCCCTCCCTGCCTGCTCTGTGAGATACTGCAGACAGCCACAAGTAAGCAGAGGGAAGATAGTGAGTGGAGATCTGGAGGGCTAGGGTGAATGGGGGGACAGGGCAGTGGGCCCAATCCAGGCACTAAATTGTAGCCTAGAGTAGCTACACCATAACGTGACATGAACTGGGTAACACAGATCAGAGATAATCCTGCCCTGAAATGATGCAACTTTAACCCATGTAGGAGTGCTTAAAACTACTTTCAGGTGTTAATGTGTGTGCAATCCAGGTGTTAAGAGCTCCAGGAGTCACCTAAAATTACTCTGTAACAAAGCCAGTAGACAACATTTTTAATAACGTCTCCACCTGCACAGAAAGATCGTATGTCTTGCCAAGATTAGAGTTTTCTAATACTTCAAGTTTACATGTACTACATCTCAAAAATATTAATATGCTATTTTACTGTAGGAGTATAGGAATAAAAGGTCATGATGTGTCATGTAGATCATGTCCCTTGTGTTAAACTAGATAGATTCCACACTGTGTTTTTTAATGTTTCACCTATTTAATCAATATCAGCCTAACTGTTTCTACTGAATCAGCCATTAATAACTAGGCCACCATTAAGTTATTTTCCCATCAGAAAATGTCTTCTTGTTTGCGAATTGAATTTATCCTTTTATTTTAACTTTTTCATTTTACTACTAGTGGCCAAAACAAATAGTGCCACTTAATACAGCGAATAGAATTCCCTTTGTTGCCTTATTACCCTGGAAGTATTTACAAAGAATTAAAGCATGTTCTCATGTCAATGAGCAGGACTACCCATTAACCGTAGCATTAAAAGGAGTAAATTCTTCTGCATTAAAATGCGTGAATGCCCCTCCAGTACAAATACTTTGCTTCTGCCTCACTATTTTCAGCTTAGTGCCTGTATCATATTTAAACAGCTGCAAAGTTCATTTTTCTTGGATACCTATTAAAGGGAATTGGGTGGAAAAAAGGACAGGAGCTTATTTCAAAGTTGTTTTGACTTAATGACCATTTTAATTCAATTGTTTTTACAGACAATAAACAGGACTGAAGAATGTCTGTCTGAAATCTTTGCCTTGAATGGAGAAACTTCATTGAACAAGAAGTTGGCTTCCAGTTTGCACAGGCGTCAAATGAATGCTTTTTTTTTATTTTCTACCCTTCCCAATGAAAACAAAACAGTGTTTTTATGTGCTGTGCAAATGGTTCCGTCATGTAGTCTGACAGTTTTATTTTTGCTATAATTTTTTTAAATAAAGAGAAAACCCAAAGGAAAAACACTGGGTTAACATTTCATCTGGATGAACATTTGAATTCAGAATTTACCTGGAGGTATAGCTAGATTCTTTTTTTTTCTTTTTTTTCTTGGTTTTTTTTTTTAGAAGAACAGCAAAACTGATGATGTCAAGAGGGAGCAAGCTGAGATGAAAACTAATGGTCTTCCTCAAAAAATTAAGCTACTCTTTTTCTCATATTTTTCCTTCTTGTTTTAAATCTAGAGTGTTTTTGTTTTGTTTTGAGTTGTTTTTTTTAGAAATGTTTAGGTAAGGTTTATCTTGAATCTTAATTGCCTTAATTTTTAAGGACGTCAAAGGCTCTCAAGGCAAGCTGTCAACGTCTTGTTAGAAAACCCGAGAAGGAATTGAAACCTGCTTACACCAGTGTCAGCTGGTGTGGAAGTTTAATAGACTGAATTTTTGGGGTGAACAAAAAAAACCTGTACAGTTTAAAAGAAAATGATTTTCTTCTTTTGAAGAAAACTTGATGATAAAAGAACTGTGGCAACTGAGAGGATTGGAAAAAGTGCTGGGACTTTTATGAACTTTGTCTTAAGTGTTGACAGAAAAAAAATTCTAGAAGGCTAAAGCATTTTACAGTAAAGTTATTGAATTGAGAAAAAAACTAACTGCATTATAAAGAATGCAGGGTTTTTTTCTTGCAGAATGCAGATTTTTTTTATTTACAAAGCGTGATCGCTAGCAAAAGCATTAGTGCTTTTTATCTGCAGTCTTTTTTATGAGCTTTAAGAAGTTTTTAGTCTGCTTTGCTTGTCACATTGCAAAAACCTAGCTTAAGAGCATTAAAAAAAACTTAAGTAGATAGGAGCTTATGGTCAAAAAAGTGCAAAAAAAGCAATAGATAGAAGAAATTGTTGACAATTTCTGTAGTCTTTCCTAGTTGTGATCAAATGCAGCCTATGGATGGCCTATTTTATACCAAAGATGAAGTGACACCCTAACGCAGTCCAGAAGATAGAGTTTTTTTTTCCTTTTTTTATCTTTATTTGACCTACATGGCCGGACCAGTTCTTACTTTTTGTTTGTTTAAACTATCTTCCACTGGTGTTTTACATACTGCCTATGTTTATAATGGAAATTTCAGAGTAATTGGTACTAAAAACACATACCTGCTGTGTTTTGGAGAAATTCAGTGTGAGGACATCTGGGTTACCAACTGGTCTTCAGCTGGGCTTTAATTTCTATGACCGTTTTGTTACATTGCCTATTCCTTTGTATTTCTACCAAAACTACAGTCTTCCTTCTGAATTCCAACATCCCACAGATTCATTTCCTCACCTCAGTCTTTGTCATCTTCCAGCATGCATAGCCACCTTGATTCTACATCTGTTTTTCAGTAATGCATTTGAATCACCGATTAGATGCCACAAAAAGCAAATTTTTGTTGTCTTTTAAATTCTCTCAAAGGGAAAAGTTAAAAATTGCTTAGATTAATGCTGTTATGCAGGCAGGAAGTGAAAATTCATTTTCCCTTCTATGAGTTCTGTTTTCTTAATTTGTTGGCTGACAATCACTAATTAGTATGATTAGGCAAAAAACAGTACCTAAATTGGATCCATTGAAATCTACTTTAGGAATGACAACTATTTTACAATGAAAAATACTGATTACAATCCTTGCTTTTTTCCAAACAATCAAACAAAAAATAGAGAAGCAAGCCAGAGTAAAACAAGTGATTTTTTTTTTCTGTAAGAAGATTACAGAAAATCAGCATTTAAATAAAAATACACACACACACACGCACGCACGAAGCCAAACAATTGAACTTTCCTCCATCAAAGAGAAAGGGGAAGCTTCACTACAGTTCTTGTGGTGCATTAGAAACAGGGTATCCATTTAAAAAATAAAATATCAATCATTTTTATATTGGATTAACTCAATTCAGCCACCCTGATTCTAAGTGAGATCTATGGTTCCCTTAACTGATCTTTTTTTTTAAAAAAAAAAAAAAAGCATATTTTTTTAAAATTGCTAAAGCAGTACCTTATTTTTTAACATAGTGGGGGGTGTGGGGAGGGTTTACCCAAGCAAAAGGCTGCTATATATGCAACACGTCAAAGAGAAAGATGGGAACTCATCTGGTTAGCCACCATAGATACAGGGCTTGGTTTTCAGGAGAGTCAAACTACTTTCAACTCTCTTTGCCTTCAAATGGAGTTTTTGGTATTCTGAATACCAGGCCCCAGAAAAGTAATGTTGTTTTTCCCTCTATTTTGTTAAAAAAAAAGGCCTCTAGCTTTTTATTTTCTGTTCCACATGCTTTCACGTTGCTGTTTACTTTTTGTGAGTGGCACACGAGTTTTGTCCTTGGAGAAGGGTGTCCCCATTCAGAAGGGGTAGGGGGAAAAAACAAGCTAGCCTTATTTTCTTCCTTTTTACACTGTTTCTCTTTTTCTCTGAATTCTTTGTACAAATAGAGATAACCCCAGGCACAATTCAATTGAATATGAAATAAACATGTGTTGTTTTGTTTCTGTATACGTTCTGTTACACAAAAAAAGTCTCATTTACTATCAACAATGAGGCTACAAGGTAGCTACCATGTGGCTGATGAGTATGCTGAGGTACCTTCCTGTTTCTATTCAGAACTCTGCTGCTTTATTTATACATTCAGAAACATTTTTGGTATTATTTTCAACAAATAAAGTTAGACAATTTCAGTGTTTTTTATTAAGCCAGGCAGGCAATGAGTTATCAGGATGCCTGTCAGTTTAAACTGTTTTAAGTACATTCTGTGTTAGAACTGTCTCATTTTTTACCATGCTACAATGTTGACTATTGTTTGAAAACCAAAAAAAAAGAACAAACAAAGAAGCAGAAGAAGAAAGACAATGGATCCTCTGAATCCAATAAACTATCTTTCTTTCTTATCCCCAAACTGATGAATTGGTACTTAAAGGCTCATGAGTTACAGCTGATGAGTTATAAACAGTAATATATCACCAGGTAAGATATAATATATTTAAAATATAAAAAAAAGTTCAGAAAGGGGAAACCTTTATTTGCAAGAATCAAAGATGAGATAAAGGAATATGGATGAAGTCTGTTCAGTGCAGCAGACCTGCCCCTTGGGTATCATCATAACACAGAGATGCCCATTTGCTTCTGAAAACTGAATCTGGTTTGCTTTATATTCTGCCTAACAAGGTTTTTAGGGGCATTTTTTTTTAGAACCATTCTAGTTGGTTCAATATCTTGCCAACTTAGCCTTAAATATCATCTGGAAGGTTGCAGAAACTGCTCCAGAAGTCAAAGGCAATGGTGCCTGATGCAACTCTCTGGAAATCAAATCAGATCCATACGTTGAACTACAGATATACTTTCCATCACACCTGAACTCTTGTAAATAGTCTGATTTAGATATTTGGTTTGGGGGGGGGGGGGGGGGGGGGTTGGGGCGTTGTTTGGGATTTTTTTTTTCCTTTGGAAAATAAGTAATAAGAGGGGTGTCAGAAAAATATGCATCATGGCTGGAATATTCTGAATACCCAGGATATTGGATAATGGCTATAATGGAACTGAATACAGTATAATATGTAGCATTAGCAGGTGCTAGTGACAAAGGCAGAGTCTAATTCAGGGCACTAGATCCTGGCTGTTCCAAACGAAAATGCTGAGGTAGTTCTCTGTCTTGCTCTACTGCTGGTTTTATTAACACTTCAATTATGACAGCCAGCCATAGAATTTGGGATGCCCTCACAGTCCCTACCATTGAAATAGACTCTTAAAATGTCGCTAGCTGCTGCATACTTGTATGGTTCTGTTTGCCAAGGGATTTAGACTGCCTTTTTATGATAAGCTGAGAAAACCAATGTCATGCAGAATGAGGCCTATTTCAGAGTAGTTGCATCATGATGTATTATTTTGTACTGTGGATGCATGCACAACTGTGGAAGATGAGAGTTGGTGATCAGGGAAGTGAGGGATTCTGCAATGGGCATAAGCATTAAAATGGGTTTTTACATGAGTAAAAAGCAAATGAAGGGTTTTATTTATGTATGTATGTGTACCAAAATTCAGCAAATTTGAGGAAGCCTGCATTGTAATAAAGTTTATTTTTAATATGTCATAGTATTTGGATCTATATTATGTTGTCTATGGTACTGAAGGATGAGATTGATACTCACTGTTTAACAAGTTACCTTGGTTCATCATTTTAAGCTTAATAGCACTTGTCAGCCAGCCTCTTCATTTTAATGCTGAGGTTGACATGAGTAACACAGGTTTAAGCAGACTCTCTGCACTATGCCTTCAGTAAGAGTCATGCTAAAGAGTGATAGTAGGCTTAAAGTAATGAATCAGTCTATTTTTAGTGATGAGACCAAATGTGGTAGTTGAAGATAGTTATGTTTGATCCACACATGGTCAACATTTCTTTACAAAACTTTATTTAACATGAAATTGGTCTTGATGTAAAAGAAGTGTCCTTGGGCGAGGGATTTTCCAGGTCTTCTAGGTAGCCCATATGAACTGAGGAAATACTAATGGTGTGATGGAAATGCAAAAGATAACAACAAAACCACAGGCAGATTATTCCAGGGAACCTCTCCTTTCTGGTTGATGACATTTATTTTCTCTCTAATAATGGTGATTCCTTTCATTTTCTAATACATGCACACTAACTAGTCATGTACACACACTTTGTCAGAAGGAGGGGGTGTATCAGCAGGACATTTTTCATATTCTTCAACAAAGTGGATTTCTGGAATCAACAAGAGGCAAATGAGCGGCATGGGTAAACGAGGAGAGAATTATTTTTCCTTCAGAAGAAGCACCACACTTCCACATCAGTCATATCATCCAAATAGACTGGAATGCTGTCTGCACCCCTCAGATTCATCTTCATGCCTCAGAGCATGCAGAAGAGACCAGTTCTCTCCCCTTTGTTGATGTGTTCTTTGTTAAAAATAAACATAAAAAAATGACAAAATGTACAAAAATGGTTCTTGCTTCCCATGATGAGAAAATATCTTGTGTCTATATCAGTTATTCTCGTTTTTATTCCTCACCAATGACAGTCAATTTCCTTTCACCCTAATAAAATTTTGTAATTAAGTGAAAAATGTCAGCTGTTGAAAGGTCCACAAACCCATTTTTCTTTATAGGCCTCAGTCTCAGAAGGAATTCAATACCCCCAGAGATCTAGGTCTGTTGATTTAAAAAAAAATCTGTCCAGTGTTCATTGTATTTTCACTCTTTTGTTTTGTTTCTCAAGGATGAAGAATGTATATTTCTGGTGGAATTTACCATCAGTTATATTTTAAGAACCTCCCAAAAATCAGGTTAAAGAGGACAGCATGATGGTAGAATAACTACAGTTATGCATCCTAAAGTGGAAAAAAGCTGAGTAAATCATTTTCTTTTCTTGAGGAAAAATAAATTATGTGGAAGAAGGAAGCATCCAGTATTTGTAAAGGAACTTTTAATTGTTTTCCCATTAAAGGAGAATTAAAAGCTTCCATCTTTAAGAAAATCAAAATAGTACTGAAGATAGATGACTCTCCTATCAAGAAAAATGTATCACATCCATGAGACAGGGGTTCTTTCAAATCTTTATATCCTCACTATTGCCAAATTGTAGACTAAAGAACCTCTGGGAAATAGTAAACTATGAATCTTATTTATATGGGCATCCTTGTGTTGATGTCTTGGAGCTATGTCTACTGCTATTATGTTGGGTTTTTTTAATTTTTGTTTTCCATTTGTACCGCAACCCTAATAGCTGCCATTTTTCCACTCCTGGGGCTTTCTGTAGATCAGTGGATGTTAGGTTTAAACTTCTGTTTTCTTTGATGAAGCTTTCAATAAAAAAATAAAGAAAAGCACTGGATGTCTGGTTGTTCTTGTTGCACATATGCAGAAGCTCCGTGAAGCGTTTAGTCCCTGTGCTCTGTGTGCGTACAGGGGAAGGAGAGGGGAGTTCTTCAACATGGTTTACCTTCTTCCTCATCAGATCAATATAAGAACTGGGTCTCCTGAGAGACAGAGTAGCTCTTTCTCATTTTTAGAAGCAAAATCACTCACATGCTTGACCATGGAATGAAACAGAAAAGGTCCTTTCAGCCAGAGGCCTGGTGATAAATGTTCCTTGTTCTCTCAGATAGCAGCCTATTTACTGGTTAAAATATTCCCTTAGCTTCTAAAATACATTTTACTAACGTATTTAGTCATTTTGGTCACAAAAAAAGACTTCAGTGCACACTGACAGGTCCAAATTTAACAGCCTCTGAAATGGAAGTCTTTTTTCATAGCACCGACGGATAGTAGATGACAGCAGTACAAGCTTCCCCAAATTACCCCAGTATAACCTTACTTTGAGATGGAATTGAGGAGAGAAAAGGACCTCTCTCGCTCTCTCTCTTGTCTCACAGGGGCAGAAGGAAGTTGTGTAGTTGGTCCCCTCCCAACCCCCCCTCCCCAACCACATCCAGAGCTGCTTTGATACAGGACGGGAGTTGCTGAATGGCTCTCCATCCCACCTGCCCAAAAGAACTGCCTCTGGCAGCAAGGCATGGGCCAAGTGGAATTTTTCTCTCCACCATGTCAGCTTGTGGCAATGAGTTTTACATGTTTGTCCCTGACTGGTAGTTGTAGAAAGTTTTATACCAGATATAACTAAGGGGTCTACCTACCTTGAGGCAGCTGGCCAATTTCGCAGGCAGGTTGCTGGGTCAGCCACTATTTTTGAGGGCTTATTGTGGCTGGATTGAAAAAGGGGCCTTGGTAGTCCTACCACTGATTGGTAGAGAGGGCTGTCCCACATACCGCCTCACCTCTCACTGCTGATTGGCTGAAAGAGCTATCGTGCCCTTAGTTGCTGATTGGTAGAAGGGGCAGAACCACACAACAGGCAGCTTTCTCAGACAATCAGCAGCAAAGGGGGGGGAGGAGTGGTGGCAGCCATCTTGCCCTCTCACTTAGTGCCAGCAGCCCCGCTGGGGGAGCCAACATTTTATTTTTGGTAAGTTTTTTTTTTCTTGAAGATTTTGCAGAAATTTCAAAATTGGGCCACCTCTGCAAAATCCACACAATTGTGATTTGGGTAGGTCCCTAGATATAACCTCTTCAGTGACATGGATCACATTCTACCCAGTGCCCAACTTACATAAAATAACAATGAAATTGGGACCTCCCGCTGAGTTCCTAGACATGATCTTATTACAGTCTCCTCTCTCTCTCTCTCTCTCTCAGTCTCACATGCACACACTATATTTCCAAACACATTTTATGCTGATATTGTTCCTTTAAACAGATTGCCTCCTCTCTGTTCAGAGCAATTCAGAATCTATGTTGAGCTTGCACATTTGTTGCATAGTGACTGGCAATGTATTCAGCATTCTGGGAAGTACGCTATGTTTTTGCCCTGGCACTTCACTTCTTCTTGGACAGCTATGCAACTTCCCACGTTGCTCACTTTTCTTTGACAGGCTACCACAGCAGGCAGACATTTCTATTGAAGTGATGAGTATCCAGGACAGCCAGGGTGTGCTTCCTCACCCCCTCCCCTATACCCTTCCCTCCCACTTATTCCTCTTCGCTGCGATTTCATTTCTACATGCCCCAAATGGGTCTGTCAAGTTTTATGTTGCTTTCATATTTTCACTTCCATAGGAGCAGTGAATACGTACATTACAATAACATGCAGAGACCCCAGTTGGGAATGAGTCCCCATTCAGCACTGCACAAACCCAGAGCAGCACCAATACCTACTCTGAAAGGTTTGAAAGCTTAAGTGAAAAGGAATCCTTTAAATCTGTTAGGTGAGTGGATTTGCTTTCATGTTACACAGTCAGGGCACAGATGAGTACTGTGGGATCAGTTTTACACTTTACTGATCTCGTCACTCAGCAACAATTTTCCTGCCACATATGGACCAAATCATCCTTTCAAAAAGTAATTTTCCATTTTCCATTTTTCTTATTTTCTTTTTTTTTTTTTTTTTTGCTTCCTGATTATGCTTGAGGGATGTGGGGGGATTTGGTTAGGGTGGGAAGGATCAGTTTGAAAATGTTTGGTTTAAGAATAGCACATCATCCTTTTTTTTTGCATGTGCCCCACTGCAGATGGGTCAGTATGAGTAATGTTCATTGCAGTCAAGTAGAACTTGATTAGGCAGCTTGGCAATTGCCCATCACATGTCTGATAGAAAGTATTGTCTTTGAACCCTGGAGATCTTGGAGCCCTTCTGTGTAGGGGGTGCACGCTGCTTCCATGTTATATGTACATATTGAATAATTCACCTCTGTGCAAAGAGTCAGGACATGCCTCATTCACCGCTTAATCCAACTAAAAGCCCAAACTGGAACTTTAAATGATGCTCAGGCCTTGTGCTCACTGTCTGAACCATGGTGAATGTCACCCACAGCAATCATTCATCTATAGTGCTCAAAGTGGGGTCATGTATATCCATCTTTGTAACAGCATTCACTTTAGTGTAAGAGGCCATAAACCAAACTGCTGCTGGATCATTTTTTATGATTAAAAAAATGAGGAAAGATCCATAAATGTAATTTATTCTGCCATTATTTGTTAATAAATGTCTGGTTTGCCTCATGGCTCAATTTCCTCATCTAAAATGAGTGCACAAGTCACTCTAACAGGAAAAAATGAGGTGAGTAGCCCCTTGACATGTATTATAATTCACAAAGGAATGTTCAGCTTTTTATAGTAGTCAGTATGTAATATTAATTATTTATTGAACAGAAGAAGGTAGAACCCCCCAAACAGTATTGTTGCCCCACCCAGTGTGTTAAGTGCTGTATATACAAGTGGTTAGAAACAATCCCTGCCCTGAAGAGCTGGCCAGCTAAACTGCCAGGACAGATAATACAATAATTTTACTCCAAACTTGCTTCATTTTACTTATTTTCTGGCAGAAGTTTATTATCAAATACAGCAAGAGGAAAAAAAAGGGATTTTTTTTTCTGTTCTCAGTGGTAACAGATGACAGAACAAGGAGCAATGGTCTCAAGTTGCAGCAAGGGAGTTTTTGGTTGGATATTAGGAAAAACTTTTCCAGTAGGATGGTGGTGAAGCACTGAAACAAGTTACCTATTAAGGTGGTGGACTCTCCATCCTTCTGGGTTTTTATGGGCTGGCTCGACAAAGCCCTGGCTGGAATGATAGAGTTGGGGATGGTCCTGCTTTGAGCAGAGGGTTGGATTATATGACCTCCTGAGGTCCCTCCCAACCCTAACTTTATGATTCTGTGACGGCGTGGGGTACTATCATCTCCATTTTCCAGATTGGGCACAGAAGTACAGAGTGAGACAAAGACAACACCACTCTCCCTTTTCCTACCCACCATCCTAGCAAAGAACTTAATTTAGTGCTTCACTATATGCATGTGAACAGTCTCATTGCCTTTATTAACAATGGTAGAAAGGATCAGAGAATTACTTATGAGAATTACTTCCATATTTGATTTTTGTTGATGGTTAGAATGCTGCAGGACTTCAGTAGGATTATGCCTGTGCTTACCATTCGTTCTTAAATATATTAATGGATTGAGTCACACTGGCTCTGGCTACTCAACAACCTTACAGTAGCATGCAGCAGTGCCCTCAGGTTGGGCACGCTGTTCCTTATGGGTCAGTTCCTAAGCCAGAAGCGGTATAGCCACACCCACGCTGTACTTTGGGCAAGCCAATTAACATTGCTGACTGAGAGCTCCAAATAGCCTGCTCCCATGCTAATTAGCTTCTGCCCAGAGCCAAGTGAACAGAGCTAAGCTACTTGCAATTTGGGAGGCAGCCTACATGAATCAGCTTGCCATGCTAGAAGGGACCACGGCTGAGTGCTACATCCATTGTGTAGAAATGGCTAAAGGTTAGTCTATGATAGAGATTCTAATTCTAATTCTTCTGATTTTTAGTCCAGTGACTTTACTAGCTAACCAAGCTAGTGTGTTGCTCCCTTGTATGTGTGTGGAATGTTTTCTACAAACTACATATTTTCTCCCTTCTTTGGCTTTTGAACCCTATCACTCAGTGACCCCTTACATAAACAATGCTAGCCACATTTTCCTTAAAGAATACCACTCTTCACTACCTAGACAACAAAGGATTTCTTTCCAGCTCATCTGATTGAATTACAGTTGTGATCCCCCCCCAGCCTGTGCCAGCCCTGGCAGTATTAAACCATTTTTTATTATATGTTTAAGTGTTTATAGCCAACTTCTCCTGTAAAAATACAAGAGAACATATCTTTCCCCCAAAAAAGAAGTGTCAGAAACTTTCCCCAGCTGTGACCCTGAAACAGTGAATAACAAAAGCAAAACCGCTGCACTGCAGCCCAACTCTGTTTGGTTTATTGTAATCTCAGCCTTCCAATCCCCTTCAATCTCATTTATTAGCTTCAACTACATGTTGATTCCTATTTCACATATAAATTGTGTGGTCTACAATCCATACAACACCTAGCAAAGTCCCTGAGCGTGGCTTACAGTCATTGGGGTCCTACAAAACAATATTCTTCACTTTTTTCTTTCCTGTTTTGTTATGTGCCTATTTTTTGTCATTCTGTTTTCCAAGCAATTTTCTTCCAAAAATACTAGACACCTATATAATGATTGTCCAGTAAATAATGATCACCCAATATGTCAACACAATCCACTATATATTTAAATATTTACACACACACCCATTACATTGAAAACTGTAAGAAACGCTTAGAAATTTGAGATGTGAAGTTTGATACTATGACTTTTTGTTGATTTAGCTGCAAGCATCTCATAAAGTAAACTCCCTCTCTCCCCTCATAGATTTCCATAACAGAGCTCTGTCTCACAGCAGATATTAATAGCAGTGAAGTCAGAG